GGGCTTCTGCTGTCTGTCCTGACTTCCCCCCCCCCCCCGCTGTCTGTCCTGACTGAGGAAGGCGCCATCGATGCCTCCAAGGGGAGCTTCCGCTGACTCTGCCCCTCGTCCTCCCCTTCCGTCCAGGGGCTGCTCTGCCTTCATTCCGCCACAGACCTTGGCCTTTTCTGCGTCCGCTTTCACCCTCCTAAGGGGTACCTGGCCGGCTGAAGAGGGAAAGCCTGCCCCCCCCCACCTCCCTGCCCTGGCAGCTTTTATGACGGGCACCTCTCCTCCCGTTTGGTGGGGGCTCTTCTGCCAAACTCCTTCCCGGGCACATTTAACACACACACCTGGTTTCACTCTGGCTCCTTGATAGCGGAACAAGCTCAGCCGCCTCACCATCGCCAAGCGCAGGGCAGCCTCTGCACGCCCCGCAGAGCTCTCCCGTGAGCAAAGCGGCCTGCGGGCTGGAGCTGCCTCCGGTTGTGCCAGCTGCACCCGCAGCCCTGCTGCTGCTGCTGCTGCTGTCGCCTCCCCCCTTGCTGACCTCCGGCTCCCCCTCAAAAGCGCCGTGTGCTTCCTTGACTTTTCTGCACTTTTGCCCTCGCCCCCCCCTTTTCCTTGCCCACAGACTCTTCCCTCCCTCCTTCAGCCCCAAGCCTTGGCAGGGGTGGGAGTGGGGAGGCTTCCTCCTCTTTCCCACTCCAGGCCCCCCTTCCTTCCCTGGCTCTCCATTGACAGATCTCACCACTTTCCCTTGTGGGGGTTGTTCCTGGTTTTTCATACTGGTTCTCTTGGGGGGTGGGGTGGGACTGGGGCTTGACGTCTTCCCTTTCCTCTTGTTTCCCCCCCCCCCCCTTCTGGGGCTAATGCGGATGGGATGTGCCTGCCCTTTGGGGAGACCCGGGGCCCCCCCCCCCCCCCATCCCAGGTTAGCCTTTAGTTCCTCTGGCTCCGAAGCGTTTTTTGTGCACTGGGGGTGGGAGAGTGAGGGCGGCCCACTTGGAGGGCCTGGGCCTCGGGTTTGGTGGTTCTGCTCTGGATCTTCTTCCCAGCCTCTGAGCCAGAAAGAGGAGGGAAGCAGCTCCGCCTGTGCCCCAAATTGTCACTAGGGGGCAGCATGACCACATGACAGTCACTGCAGTGGCTTTGAGGCTACTCGCTGCATCAGGGGGGGGGGGGGGGGGGGGGGGGGGGGGGGGGGGGCCATGGGCCAGCAGCTGCTTTTGGGGCAGGGCAGAAATCCTCCCCCCACGTTGCTTCAGCTCCTCGTTGCAAGACAGGCCTGGAGAGCCACAGGCTCCCTCAAAGAGGCTGCCTCCCCCCCCCCACCATGGGCCAGTCCCTTTCACTCAGCCCAGCTACCTCAGAGGGTGGTTGTGGGGGAAATGGGAGGAGGGAGGGGGGGCTGCAGGCACGGAGAGAGAGATGCCTCAGCCAACAAACCCCCTCAGAATCTGCAGGCTGGCAGCCCGGCCGAAAGGGGCGTCCCTCACCAACCTCCCAGTCACCAAGCGCAGCGCCGGCAGCCCCTTTTTTCTGTCCACCTTCTGCACAACGTGTCATCCAGGCACGGCTCCCGGCTGCAAGCCTCGGACTGGCCCCGGCACAGGGCGGGAGGCAGGGCCTAAGGGGGAGGGGGGGTGGACCCTGCTCTGGACCTCCTGGGGCCCAACGGGGGGCCCAAATCCTGAGCCACAAGGAGTACCTGATCGCTGAGGCTGGGCATGAATTGCATCTTGAAGAACCGGAAGGCGATGACCGGCAGGACGCAGAGACTCACGCAGAGGCAGATGGAGAGCCAGACCTTGGGCTGGTTGAGGATGTTCCGGGCGGTGCCTGGGGGGGGGGGGGGGAGAGACGGGCAGCCGTTGCCCTGCTGGGCTGAGGTCCCTGGGTGCCTGGTCCCTGGGTGGGGTTTCTTCAGCCCAGGTCCCTGGGAACGTCACCCTCCCTGCCCCTGATCCCCTCCCCACTTGTAGCGCCGCCTCCCCCAGGGACGGCACTGAGGGGGGTTCTTTGCAGCTTCTGAACCTACCGACAAAGGGGAAGGAGGAGGTGAATATCTGGTAGGTGCCATCGCTGTACAAGGTGAAGGTGATGACAAAGTAGATGGCCAGGCTGCCCCAGAGGAAGAGTTGGTTCACGGCCGTCCAGTAGGCCGTGTCTAAGCCCATCTGCAAAAGGCAGCCTGGCTGACGTAGCCGTGGGAGCAGCAGCTGCTCTGTCTCGCTGACCCCCGCCACGAACTGGGGCTAGCCATCCTCACCCGCACCCACACCCCGCCCTAGCGCTCAATCTGCCAACGCGGCCCAAAAGCTCCTCTGGGCAGCAGCCACGGGGGGGGGGGGGGGCGGCCTGCGCCCCCAGCCACCTGCATTCGGATACCTCAGGCGGAGGGGGGCCTCAGCCCTCCCTCCTCCAGCTGAGCAGCTCCCCCTGGACCACCCGGGGCTTCTTGCCAGGTTCCTGGTGTATTGGTGGAGCAGCTTTCCCAGACCTGGACCCCCACCCGTTGTGCAGCTGAATGGCAAACCAAGGATTAATGCAAGCCAACAAGGCCGGGTGCTACCACTAAAACTGGACACCCGCTTTTGCTGAACTCCTGAGCTGAGTGGGCTGTGTTGATGCTGAGGCGAAATCCTGGCTTCCGGATTTGGGCCCCTCCTCGGAAGAAAGAGCCGGGGGGGCACTGAACTGGCGCAGTTGGTGAGACGGAGCCCCCTACCTGGACCGACACCACGATGAGCAGACAGGTCTGCACCATGAGGGCGAAGGACTGATAATCAGCAACGTTCCTCCCGTCGTTCCGCACAGAATCAAAAGTGGTTCCATAGGGGACCAGGAAAAGCACCAGGGAGCTGTAGATGCTGTAGAGGATGCACTTGGCAAACTCCTTCTTGTTGAAGTACAGGTTCTGCTGGCCAGGGACGTACAGCTGGGGAAACTGCAGGCTCCAGCGGTCATCCACGTCCTGGCAGCAGAGAGAGGAAGCTGGGGACCCAGGTGGCAGCCGCTGCCCCTGCAGGAGGCGTCCTAAGCCCCCGCCCCATCTTCCAAACCGAGGCCAAGGCTAGGAGCTGTGGCCACGCTTGTTCCTGCAGGTTCTGGCCGGTTCGACTCCCAGAGAAAAGCTGTCCCAGGGCTAGCGATGGAGGTGGAGAAGCGCCCCCTCCCAGGCTCAGCCCCGTGGACGGCTCTGCTCTGGGAAGGAGCTCTCCCGGTGGCTGGCTTTAGACTGCTTTGCCGGAGCTCCTGTTGCCGGATAGGACCCTGGCCGTTATTCTTTGGGGAACATAGAGGGCTGATCTTAAAAGGTTCTCCGCGGAGTAAGGCTCCAGGTGGACTTGAATGAAGACTTGGGCATTGATTCACTAATTAATGAAATAAGAATCCTTCCCCTGGGAAATATTTGCATCTCTAATGAATAAAATAATGGACAGGATGGCTTTGAAGGCTGGTCACTAGAGGGCACCAGTGGATCATTTGAGAGAAATGCAGGACTTACCGGGCTCAGAAAATAACTTTAATCTGCTATGACCTATAAACTAGACCGTGTGTTGTGAAAGGGGACCCCAGTGAGGGAGCCTCCTTTTTTCTGTTGCTTTTCCTTCCGTTTCATGAACTGAGACCAAGGAAAGGCACCCCGAGCGAGTCTTACCTGGTCAAAGAGGCTCATTCCAAGCACTGGCAAACAGGTGTATACCATGTTGTAAAGGGTGATGAACCATTCGTCATACACGGTCTGCAGGGGAAGAAGGGAGGACGTGAGACAGCAAAGCGGAAAGGCACCAAACCTACAATCTGGAGATCCGTGGATAGAGAGGGGAGGATGCCCATGTTTCCTTCTGAATTCCTGTTCCTCAGGCGTGGGGTTCTGCCTTTCTCAAGGAGGCTTATCATTTATTGAACTTATATGATGCCCATCTCACCTAGAGGTGACTCCGTATATATCACGCTCTTCTCCCTGTTCTAGGCTCAGGGCAAGTCGCTGCATCCTGGTTGTGGGCCGGTATATTCTACAGAGACTTCTTTGTAAATGAGCCACTGTTACGTTCGCCTGCAAGGTTGCCTCTACAGCAGAGAACCTGGTCTGTCTTGGAACAGGCACACCTACCAATCCTGCCACCGTATATCCCTCCAGGGAATGCTAGCTGCCCTTTCCGTCTTCACTGAAAACAGGATGCCAGAGCTTTGGTTGACCAAAGCCACAACTGGGAGCAGAGATGAGAGTTCTAGGGGGCCACAGGTGACCATTTGTGAAGGACCAGAGATGGAAGACAGTGACTTGGAATGTAAGGGAAGAAAGCAATCGAGAGCATGAATGAATGAAACAAGAGCAAGGAAAACAGTTCTCTGATAAATCTAAAATGAAGATGAAGGTGTAATAAATAGAGCCAAAGACCGAGCCTAATCTTTGGGTGGGGAGGAGATGCACACATGCAGGTAATGGAAGCCTAGTTTTAACCACCAACCAAAGGGGCAGAAGATGCAATGTGTGTGGGTGGTTGGGACATTAAGAGGGAAGGATGGAGAATCAACACAGAAGATAAAACTTTGAAGGAGGAACAAAAGGCTTGGGAAGAAAGCAGAACGCAGCTTTTCTAGAAGGTGGTAGTGGGGACAGGTCGGTTGGTCGGTCGGTCTGTCCATGCACCTGTCACGCTTGTCAGCTTGTTGAAAGTGATTAGATGAGGCTGGCTTGGCTAAGGGAAGCTCGGCTTATGACCGGTTGCTTAACTACTGTCAACTTACGGTGGACCTAGCCAGAGCTACTTATGACTTGTTTTCGAAGTTACCATAGCTACTCAGAGTTAACACACACCCCTGTGGTCATGGAATCATATTTTGGGTGCTTGGCAACCCTCCCACCTTTGTAATTGTATGTAGTGTTTGCACCTTCCCACCTCACCCCCCCTTAATTCTGACATTTACTTTCCCAAACACCCATTTGGGAAAATCTGCTTAACGGCCACCATAAAATATGTTGAAAAATCAGGTGTGGTCCTGTGATGCCTTGACTTATAACCTTAGGCTCAATAATGGTCGTAAGTTGAGGACTATCAGTACTCCTGCTAAAATTGCTTCCTCTCTCTCTCTCTCTCTCTCTCTCTGCAGAGCGTTGTGTGCTGTGCAAAGCCAGGCTGGGTGGTTAGTGTCCCAGTCCTCACACTGGCCGAGGGCACACACGTGTGAGATGCCTGATCCACATGCAGCTACAGGGAGGGATGATTTCCCATGGCAACAGAATCCATGACCGGAAATTGTGAGCACAAATTACAATTACTTGGATTTCATTTCAATAGAGGGAAAAGCTTCCGGATAGTAAATTTCTGTGCGACAGCAACTATAACGATCGTGGATTCTCCACCTCTGTGTGGCTTTGAGAAGTTGGGCAGCAACTTCCCAAGGTTGAAACTGAACTGGCTTCCTCCCTGCAGACGAGCGGGGTCCTTGCATTGCCCGCTGTCCTGGCAAAGGGCTCACGGCCATCAGTCAGCCTGCTGGCCCCTGAAACCAAACTGCCCCTCACCTGAAAGTCCGGTAGGAAAAGAGATGCTTGGTCTTCCTGGCCACCAGACCTGCCCTCGGCCATCAGCTGGAGCAGGCCAGGGAAATGCTCTGCCCCCCCCCCCCCCCGTTACCCTCCCCAGTCGGCTGCCCCTGGGGTGGAGGCCTGCGCTCAGCAGAGGCGAGTACCTGGGCGGAGAAGCCGGAGAAGAAGCCGAACCAGAAGTGCACCAGCGTGAACGCAAAGTTTTTGTAGAAGAAGTAAGACAAGAACTTGCACATGCGGATGTATGACCACCGGCCGTGGACCAGCAGTAGCCGCTGTAGGTAGCGGAACTGGGCGAAGGAGAAGTCGCTGGACATCACCGCCTGCATCCCCTCCTGGCCACTGATGCCGACGCCAATGTGGGCAGCTAGAAGACCAAACAGGAAGGCCCTCAGCAGGGGAAACTGGTGGGCACTTTATCCACTTGTCCCACGGCTACTGCGCTTGGCCCCCCAAGGCCAGAGAAACGGGGGCACAGGAAGAACAGGAAGAAGGCTCAGACAGAGAGGGATTTGCCACTGGCCTTCAAAGGAGTGCAAGGTGCTTGTCCACGCCCAAGGCTCTGCTGGGCCTCCAAGAGCGAGAGAGCCAGCCACGGGAGCCACAGCCACCCTGCAGGATTGGCTTCCCGTTCCCTGCCCCCTTGGCCTGGCTTCTCAGAGTCCCTCTGCTTCTGCGGCTTCTCCCCCGGGCCTGGCCAAGAGCTGAGCCACCTACCACACTCACTTTTGATCATGCCGACATCGTTGGCGCCATCTCCGATGGCCAGGGTGACGGCGTTCCTGTACTTCTTCACCAGCTCCACCACTTGGGCCTTCTGCAGCGGAGTCACCCGGCAGCAGATCACCGTTTTGCACAGGCAGGCTGTGTCCACCAGCAGTTCCGCCAGCTCCCCCTCCAGCGCATAGGCCTGCCAGGGGCACAGAGCATCCCAAGGCTGGAGTGCAAAACACCCAGGAAAAGGCCAGCGGTCTGGCATGAGTGAGGTGACCAGCCCCTTGCCTGTCCTGAACTGGCACTTACTTTCTTTCTTACGTACTTACTAAACCAATTCATAGGGCTGCCCTCCTCACAGCATTAGCAAACCATCAAAAACCAAACTCCGCAACCCCCCAGCAGTAGCATCCCGCCTGGAGCACATCCAGGTCCTTGGTCCCACGTGACTGGCAGGATCGGGACCAGCCTGGCCTCAGGAAGGGGCATGGCACTCCTGCCAGTTCCCACGGCTTCGCCTTTGTTAGCCAAGGGCCCCTGTTTGCCCCCTGGCCTGTTGCAGAAGGGGCCAGCCTCAGGCACCCCCTTACCAAGCTGTGCCCATTAATGATCAGGCCGTAGTCTCCGCTGGCGGCCTCTTTGTTCCAGAAGCCGGAGGAGGTTGACCTCCTGATGTTCAAATCTTCTGGCTTCGCATCGAGGTCTGCTTGCATCCTATCCTTTGCTATCCTGAAAAAGAAGCAACATGGTGAACTCCGTGGACACGAAGTGAGAAGGGGTGGTCCTGTCCACGCAGGGTGGCCCTTGATGCTCCTGTGGATGAGGCCAAGAGGATGAGACCCCAGAACTGACCGTGTGCCCTTGTCAAGCTGGGGGGGGGGGCCACCAGGCACACTTATTTGCCGTCAGAGCCCCACCAGCCCCCTGACCTGACCAGTGCCTGGTTCCTGCCTCAACCATGTCCCCACTGAGCTGCGAACGGAGCCGCCGCCGCCGCCTTGATGGTCCATTCTTATTACTAGTCTTATTATTATTGAGATTACGGCGGTCCCCATATTGCCTAAGCCACCAAATGGCCCCAGGCCAGAGGAACCCATGAGGAAAAGGTCTGAATGAGCCTTCCAGTTGAGAAGCAGCCTCTGCCAGCGTACTTGGCTGATCCCGCTGCCTCTGTTCCCCCTTGGGAAATAGCTGGGTTGACACAACCATCACATAATGGCCTTTCACACCGCCCTGGCATTGCTGAACGAACCCAGAAAAGCCTGTTGTATGAAGGCAGCTTGCAGAGTTTGGGAGGTTGACGTGGTGGTTCAGCCGCACCCAGCCACCCGCTTTGGAGATACAGGGTGGATCAATAAAGAGGACCCCTTCCCGTCTGGGAGTCCTAAGGAAGCCTTCTTTTAGACACCCAAGATGAGTCCGGGGGAGGGGAGTGATCTCCCCCCTCAGAGAGACCCTCCTGTGGTCAGAGCTGGTCTGCCCAATGAGGAGGCAGAGAGTTTGAGGAACTGGGTGGAGAAAGCTCCCTCACCAGGAAGCCCTCTGCCTCTTTCTCCGCCAGCTGTTCTCCTCGACTCAGGACAGCTGCCCTCCCTCCCTCCCAGGTGGGCACGGGAGAGAAGGAGCAGCAAGGGAGCCCCAGGGAGACCCCCCCCCCTCTCTCTCACCTGAGCTGCTGTTCCACTTCCTCCCAGCTGTCACCGTCAATGGTGAAGATGTCCTTCATGGCATCGTACAGCATGTTGCAGGAATAGCCGATGTTCACTGCGGTCTCTGGAAAAACAGACGAGACCCCCCCACCCCACCCCCAGGTCCATGGTTTTCAGGAAGGAAGGAGAAAGACCCCCTCCTTTCCCCAGAGGGAGCCCTCTCCCCTCTTGTCCCCGGCTGCCTTTCTATAGGGGCCTGGGAGGGGAGGAAGCACCCAGGAAATTGGCATGCCAGCCGAAGGACTGAACCCACCGTCCCGACAGGTGGATCCTCTGTGGCTGAATCATCTGAATTCTTTGCTGGCCTCCCTTGACTCCGTTGCATCCGTCCCTAGCCCCTCGCTCTGCCCCCCCCCCCGCCCCCCCCCCCCAGGTGCCGTCCCTGTGCCCCCCCCCCCCCCCCCCCCGGCCCACCTGATTCCATTCTCTTCTCCTGACCTTGACTCCCAGCAGACCAGATTTCTGCTCGGAAAGCCGACTGGCCCATCTGTTCATCTATGAAATCTCCTAAAATCTCCTAAAATCTCCCTGCTCCTGGAGGCAGGAGGGCTCCTTGGTCTCCCCTCGAGGGCTCCGAGCAGAGACCCCGAAAACACGTTGCATCTGTCCCACTCCAGGAGCCTTGCTGGGAAGCCGTGGCTCCGAGGCAAGGAAGAGCCACCCTCCCTGGCACTGGTGTGGAAGCAGGACCTTCCTGGTCACAATGGGATCAGCAGGGGGGCTCGGGTGCCCTGAAAGCCCCCCCCCCCATGGTACTTCTGGGGCCCCAGCCCTCCCGCCCCTCCCTCTAGCCGGTACCTTGCTTGTCACCAGTAAGCACCCAGATTTTAATGCTTGCCCTTCCCAGGATCTCAATGGTCTGGGGCACCCCATCCTGCAGCTTGTCCTCCACAGCGGTGGCACCCAGGAGCTGGGGAGAGAAGGAAGGGTGAGCTCAGAGGGGCGGGCGGGGAGCCCCTGCCAAAGGGCTGGTGCTTCGTGCATCATTCGCCTGCCACGATCTTGGCCCAGCCTGTCAAGCCTCCAGCCGCCTGTTGCCAGGCTAGCCACTCCGCATTCACGGTGGGTGTGCTGGGGAAAGGGCAGAGGGAGCCATCAAGCCAGGGGCCAGAACAGGCCGGCGTTTCTGGAGTGCACCTTCACTGGATCTGCGGCCTTCCTGCAATCTTGTGGTATGTGCCCTGCAGGCAGGCAATTAAAAAATCCCTGGTAACGATGCGCCATGTAGCTTTAGGAAAGCGGAACATTTTAAGAGGCTTGCAGGCCAGAACCCTGAGATATTAGCCAAGGTGAGAACATCAAGGCCCACCCTGTGCCCCAGAAGGAAAGGACAACCGCTCTGCGCAGGGCAGTGGAAACACTTCCAGACCGATGGGATGTGGGCCATACAATCCATCTTGGCTTGCAAGGGAACTCCTGCAAGTGCCGGTAAAAGGTGATGGGTGGCATGCAAGGAAGGCCCATCTCTCTAAAACAGTGAAAACCATGCACATTATATGGGAGCAAGGGTTGGGCGTGCCAGTTTCATGTGGGGGAGCCTAAGAAGCACGAGAATGAATGGGCAACACACAGCGGATCTGGGCCGAGCACAAGAGGGTGAGGTGAGCAAGAAGAAGGTGTTGAGGTGGCTGGGAGGAAATGAGGAAGGGCCCAATGGCCGACCCGAGAGAAGGAAAGATGGAAGAGCCAAGAGGGAGGGAGGAGATCACGGGGTGTGTGTGTGTGTGTGTGTGTGTGTGATCCTCCAAAGAGAGGAGGGAAGTGCTTAAAAGATCCCAAGGCCCCTCAGGATAAAGGGTGAGTGGATGGGACGGAAAGGCAGGGAGAGTGGGTGTAAATAGGTCTCAGTTACGTCCTTTGGTTTCCCTCGTGCCTTGAACGTCCCTGGCTGAAGACCACCTGGCTCCTTCCCTGCACTGTGCGCCCCAAGGCTCACCTTGAAAGGCAAGGCAGGTGTGCGTATATGTGCAGAACCCAGGCACCCTGCGCCTAAGGCTCTCTCTCTCTCCACCCTGACAGAGTGCTCAAGAGAAGGAAAACGGAGCACAAAGTGTCCTCCCCAGGGATAAGCTGGATCAAGTTCTGGGGAATTTGCCTGTAATTTGCCCTGTTGCAGCTGAGGATCCCTCTCCCTCTCCGCATGTGTGTGATGGGGTAATTCTGCTTCTTAGCTGCCTCAAGCAGAGCCCTGAAGGAGACGTTGCTTGACCACCACCCCTTTCAGCAGAACCTGGTGCCTCAGGGGCTGGGTGATTCAAGGGTGTCGGGAAATTGCTCGGGCAGGAGCAGGGGGTTCCCAATTGGCATTGGCTGGGGATGGGGGATGGGAGGAGGGGCTTCCCCTGCGCCAATCGCCTACCTGCAGGTCTCTCTCGATCTCCTCAAACACCTTGGACAGCTTCCCCTCTCGGTCCTGCAGGCTGGTGTTCGCCTTGTGGTGGCGCTTCCGCCAGCTCTCAAAGTAGGACTCCTCCAGGTCTCGGTAAGCTACCACCAAGGTCCGCAAACCTTCCCCGGCAAACTCCTAGGGAGACAGCAGGCTCAGAGCCCCGAACCACCCATCCAGGGCCAAAGAAGAAGCAGCGTGGGGGCTCAACTTATTCTCCAAAGCCCCAGAGGGCAGGACAAGAAACAACGGATGGAAACTGGTCAAGGAGAGAAGCAACCTGGAACGAAGGGGGGATTTCCTGACCGGGAGGACAATTGGTCAGTGGGGTTCAGAAGTTGCAGGCGCTCCTATCACTGGAGGTCTTCAAGAAGAGACTGGACAGCCCCTTGTCTGGAAGAGCATAGGGTTTCCTGGTTGGGCTAGAAGACCTCCAAGCGCCCAGCCCTCATTCCCAGGGATGGGAACTGCCACCCCACATTCAACCTGCGGGGAGGGAGGTCCCAGTCAGGAGCACCTCTGGCTATCAGACCTGCAAAGCCAACCTAGGGGTGGCTTGGGCCTCCAGGGGTTTGAGCCAGGCCCCACCTGGCGGTTGTGCCACAGGGTCTGCCTCGGGGCATGGCGGCTGCTCCCCGGGGAGTCCTTTGCCCCATGGCCTGGAAAGGATTCCTGACAAAGACGAAGGAGCAGCTTTGTTCTCTATGGCTCCAGAGAGCGGGACTCTGGGCAACCAGGCAACTCAAACCACACAGAAAAGGGTCCAGGCCAGGCTAGAGAAGCGGCCAGTGAGTCCCACCAGCTGCTACATCAGCGCTTGAGGTCTTCCAACAGAGACTGGATGGTGGCCCCTCAGTGCAGGAGACTAAGATGCTCTGGGCTTTCAGAGGGAGGCCAGCCAGCAACTCTGCAGCCAGCTCTGCTACCTTCTGTTGCTGGCATTGAGAAGGCCGGGGGGGGGGGGCACAGCTTTGTCTCACGTTGGAAGGAGCAGCACAGCTGAGGGGCCTGTGGGGCCAGAAAGCAGGAGGCAAGCCAGCCAGCCAGCTTCCTGCCTGCGCTTGGAAGAGGCGGGAGGGCAGTCCACTGGGCCAGGGACACCTACATCCAAGTGCTCGGTAGTCTCTTCCTCGAGCTGTTTGCAGGAGGGATGGAGGAGCTTGTACAGGATGGTGTCGGCCCCTTTGCAGTACAGAGTCAGCTGACCACTCGGGTTTCGCACTGGGAACAAGGCAAGAAGGGCAGAAGGTGAGTCTGCAGCAGGTGGAGCCCCGAAAAAGACCCAACCGGAAGCCCCCCCGCCACCTCCTCTCTCTTCCCTCCCCTCCAGCGTTCCTGCTGCAAACCGCCCAACATGCCCCAGGTAGCCTGTCTGAAAGGTCCCAGTCCTCCTGCGCTGCTGGTGGGTTGTCTGAATTGTTCCTCACTAATGGCACTTGGACATCACTGGAGCAAGAGAATATCTGTAGCTCAGTCTTGAACTGTCTTGGATGCTCTCTGAGATTGTGTCAACTCACAAAACATTTTCTATTTTACGTTTCATAGTTGTCAACAGAAAGGAGGGAGGGGAGTTTCAAAGAGCAGCTGGCGGCAGTGTGGAATCGAAAGTACATTCCATTCACGTTTTCTTCAAAGACTGATTAGATGGCTGAAACTTCTGTCGTGCAAAAATCTAATTGGAGAGCAGGATTGGTGACTCTTGGCTATCAACGTGTTTTGTTGGAGAATTGAATTATGATAAACCCAGAGGGGGGGGGGGGGGAAAGCAGGGTCCAGGGTCTCAGTGAATTACGTGTCTCAGAGTCTGCAGGTGATGGCGACATGTTGATTTCCAGTAAACCCTGTGAAGTTTTGGGAGTGTGACTCCAGACTCATGATTTACTTGGAGTAACTGCCGGAATCCTGACAGATTGGGGCTTGTCTTGCAGACGTTTCATTACCCAACTAGGCAACATTACCAGTGGTAGGAGGGAGTGGGGTTTGTGGAGAAGAAGAGGGGGGGGTGGAGGACCATGGGGTCCATGGTACTCTCTACCTTTGGCTGTTTCTTGCAGACATTTTCATTACCCAACTAGGCTACAACATCAGCCCTGATGATGCTATCTGGTTTGGCAATGAAACATCTGCCAGAAAACCACCAAGGTCAGAGAACACCAAGATCCCCACTGGGGCATCAGACCAGGGACCCCAGCAAGGCCTTGTGGTTGTGCAGCGCAACGGTTTCTGCTGCGGCACGAGACAAACCTCCGGGCGGGAGGGGAGCTTGAGCAGAGAGTGTGCAGAGTGGGAAGGAAGAGAGACACACCAATGACGGACATCCTTTTGCGCACATTGTTGAAGTCCAGAATGGCCAGCAGATCGTAAACCACCGTTGTCCCCATTTCCACCACAGTGATGGTCGTGGGGGTGCGGGCACGAAACACAAAGCCGAAGTTCCGGGCTGCGGTCACCAAGGCCCCCTCGTCTGGGGACTGGGCTTGGTACACCAACGTGCCTGTGGGCAAGGAAAGGTTTTGCAAGCATGAGCCCACCTCTCCAGCCACCGTGCCCTCCTCTGCCAGCTCTACCAGGCAGTGCAGCCTCACCCTCCTTTGTTTCTTCTGGCATCACTGTGTGGCAGAGGGAAAGGAGGCGGAAGAACCTGTGTGTGGACTCATCCCTGGCCTTCACCGCTTCAAGCAGTCTGCAGTCATAAAAGGCAAACTTTGGGTCGGCCAAAGGGTTCCATGAAAAGTCAACTCTGTCCATTGCCTGTGGAGGAAATAAGGAGGGTCAACCTCTTTTGCTCTGGGCTGGGCATTCACCCAGCCCCACACAACAGGGAAGTAAAGCTACTTGTGGGGCTCCTGAATACATACTCCTTGACTCACCACGGAAACCCCCCCCCACCCATCAAACTCCTTTGTGAGGAGATGCCAACACGAATGCCACCCTCAACCCTCCCTGGCCATGCCCACCTTGTCTTCCTCTGTGTTAAAAGCTGCGAGCCCAACTTCTGATGGCCTGGGTGGGGGGATGTGACACTTTCCTGCTTCCAGGTAGGTGCCCTCCTTGCAATTTCATCCTAGCTGTGGGGCGGGGTGGGCGGTCTGCTTCCCCCCAGAAAGAACTGCCCCACTTTGCCAGGCGTTCCCGGGCTGCCTCTCTCCTTTGGCACCCGGTTCCCGGAGAGGCTGATCTCAGCTTCAGGCAAGAGGGGGTGGGAACCTGCATTTGCCTCTAGTGGGGAACAGCCCACCTGGGTGCTGTGAAGCGGGGGGGGGCATTTTCCTACTCTCGAGGTCCACTTTCTGCCAGCCTCTTCAGTGACGTGAGATATGGGGAGCTGAGCTGGAGCCGCATTGACAAGTCTTGTGCCAGTTTCCCTTCGAGGGATGGTAAAAAAAGCTCTACAAGACGACTCAGCTCCTGCCCAAAAGAAGCCCAGCTGGACAGGAAGGGAGCCAAGCCTCTCTCCACCACCGTCCCCTGGTCACCCAGAGTGGGAAGAAAGTGGACATCAGAAAGCCTGAGGACCTTGCTGTCAGTCAACTGCACTACCACCCCAGGGCCTTCCCCATCTCTTGCCTCTCTCACCCCACGCTTGTCCTGTGGACAGAAGCCCTTTCAGTTCCAATGTGAGGTAGAGTTGGGGGAGCTGGAAGTGGGGGGCCCCCCCGAATCCTCTTCCACTCTCAGCAAGGGCTGCTGTGCAGAAGAGCAGATCCCCTGGGAGCTGAGTCCCCAGACGTGGCCTTCCGCCTGAAGCGTGGATGGACGCTTGGAGGTCACCACTGCTGGGATACAATCAGCCCCGTTTCAGAAGAGGCTTGGCGGAGAGTCCCTTACCTCAATGTCCTCCACCAGGAATCCCTCTGAATCCAGAATATCTCCTGTGGGAGAGAAACAGACTGGCTTTGAAGGACAACCAGGGCCTCTGTGCCCCAGGGACTTGGGGGGGGGGGGGGGCTCCTGTCGCTCCCTTTCTGTTCTGAAACCCCAAACCTTGGCTCTCATCACCCAGAACACCAAGACGGAGGGATGGTCAAGACCAGACCACCCATGGACACACCCCACGTGATCCTTCATGCTGAGCGCACACTACAGTCAGAGTGAGACCTTCCACCTCTTGGCCACCCTTGAGCCCACCTGAGCCCGCAGAGACGGAGGCAGTGGGGGGGGGGCTGACTGTGCCTTCAGAGCAATGAGCCTCCCTGTCACTGGAACGAAACCTGATGGAACTGCCTCCGTCCCTGGGGGGGGGGGGGTGGGTGGGGGGGTTTGGTGATTGCTTTCAATATACTTATCCGGCGGGTTTTCCTCCAGAGCTTTCCTCATCCTGCTGCACTCAGTATCTCTAGTAAAAGTACCTTTTCTCTCAAACCTATGGAATCCAGGCTCCTTCCTGGGGCCTGTCTGACACACTGTTTCTGGCCAGGAATGCCTGCCGTTTTCCCATGTCCTGCAAAGGGCCCTCGCCCCTTATCTGAAAGGGATTTGGGGGGGCAGATTGTGAAGCTCCCCTCCCCCTCGGCTCCTCCTTTTCTCCTCCAGGAACGGGGGGGGGGGGGGGGGGGGGCTGGCCCCAGAGCGGGCAAAGCTCCCATGCGCTTCCGTCTTCCCACCTTACGGGGAGACGCCCCTCCCTCTGGGCCCTTCTTACCGTAGAGCTTCCCAGCGATGCAGCACTTGTTGAAGATCATAATGTTCTTAGTGAGGGTCCCCGTTTTGTCAGAGAAGACGTATTTGATCTGCCCCAGCTCCTCATTGAGGGTGGTGGTGCGGGCCTGGGCGGGCATATCGTGGGGCGGGTAGTACATCTTGTGGTCCCAGTCGATGTAGCAGCTGTTGCCCAGGCGAATGATCTCAACGCTGGAGCAAAGGAAGACAGGCGCTGGGTCCCTGGCAGGAAGGGAAGTGTCCCACCCCGGCAAGGTGATAGGGTCCAGCCAGCTGTGCCTCCAGGCGAGGTGACGTTGTGCTAGAGCCGCAAGCACAGACAGATGGCAACGGACTCCTGTTGCCCATGGCTGAAGTGGCATGGGTTCCCTTAAGAACCACCCCCTGTATTGGAGGGACAAGGCCCCTTGGCCTCTCCTCCTGCCCCCCAAAGCAAGTTTGGCAGAGCCATCCAAGGGATGCGGGTTCTGGGTGACCCCTCCACAACGGAGCCTGCTGCTCAAGCATCCCTCCTCAATGGAAGCTCCTCCGGGATAGGACCACCTCCAGAAGCAGGGGAGAAGTGGCCCCGGCCCCAGTAGGCTCCATGGGGTCTCCTTCCAAGCTGGGGGGGGGGGGGGAGCCTGGCTTGACCCCTCAGTCACCATTTTACCTGACATAGAGAGAAATGGGCACCACGGTGTTGAGGATGATGACATAAGACCAGAACACAAGAAATGCAGAGAAAAATGCCGAGTTGACATCTGCTGCCCAGGGCAGGTACACCTGGAACCGGTAGCCCTGGTTGTATTCCCAGATGCAGTTGCCGATGGCCAGGATCAAACACATGATAGCCAAAAAGAGGAAGATCTACTGAGAGAGAGAAATTGGTAGCAGCGGCCCAGGTGGCAGAGAAGGACTTCCCCGTCTTGGGACCAGCCCCAGCCCCCTCGTCCAGAGCAGCCGTGACCCAGACCAGGCAGCCCTCCCTCTGGGCGCCCGAGCCACACCTGTGTGTCACACGTCACATCAAAGGGTTCAAATAGGACATCTAGTCCAGCCTTTTTGCTCAGAGGCAGGGATGGACCCCCTGGAGCCTCTGCTGGAAGGCCTCCAACGGAGAGCTGACTCTCTTCCCCAAACCCCAAAAACTTTAACCTTGGACTGTCTACTATTGACCTCACCCCTTTCCTAAGAGGTCTGTAGGGGGCGTGCATAAGCGCACCAATCGTGCCTACCGTCCCTGTCCTATTGTTTCTTTTTTTCTTATATGTATCCATTTCATGTATTCATAACCATGTTTATACTTATACCTATTATCTTGTAAGCGATTGACAAATCAAATAAATAAAAATAAGTAAATAAATCAGAGGATGGCCTTTTCCACTGGCTGACATCTTACCAGTTTGGCGGTATATAAGTCTCAGTGCTATTGCTATTATCGACAGCTTCCATGCTTGGTCCCTTTTAGTTATATCACTGCAACTATTCTTGTGCAATTGTTTTATTAAAAATTATATTAAACTGATAAAACAAACACAGAACTTCATAGAAAAATATATTTAAAAAGAAGAAAAAATAAACAGTGTGGAAAAAAGAAAAATACAATCCCCCCCAAAGAAAGCAAGAAAAATAAATCTCCCCCTTCATCCTCAGCATCACTGAAGCACCTCTTGGCCAAAACGCCCTAAGCAAACCCAAAGAAATCAGCCAAAGAAGAGAAAACTGGCATCATTTACAGCACCAGCTGGGGAATTATGGAGTTGAATTCCACAAGCCTTAAAGTTTCAAAGTTGGACAGCTCTGCTTTAGACCAAGCAAGAATTCCCAGAAGCTTTGCTCTACGACTGATCAGGCAACAGGCATTTATGAGTCATTCAAAAGAGAACAACCAAAGATCAAAGGAAAGAGGCCCCGAGGCCATTCTCCCCAACTGATTGTAGGGTTTCCTGCCTAAGTAGTGGGTAGGTCTGGAACAGAGGCGTCAAACTGGATTTCCTCAAGGGCCGGATCAGCATTGTGGTTCTCCTCTGCGAGTGGGGGGGATGCCTCCTGCAGCACCCTGCTGGCCAAAATGGGGTGCGGGGGAGCTGTGTGTGCCCCCCCCCCCTGCACCTCATTTTTGTCCTCCAGGGCCTCCTGCAACACTCTGGCCCATTTTGGGGCTGTTTTTTGGCCGTTTTCGGCCCGTTTCAGGCAGCAGAGTGCTGCAGGAGGCCATGGAGGGTGAAAACAAGATGGGGGGGGGTGTTTTAACCACCAGAGGATCAGGGTTGATATTTCCAGCCCGGCCCCATGGGCCGGATTTAAGCACCCCGCGGGCTAGATCTGGCCCCCTGGCTTTGAGTTTGAGACCCCTCCAAGGTCCTTTCCAACTCTGTTATCCTATTTTATTCTTTCCCACCTTCTCCAGGTTGGGCCTTTAGGTCTCTCAAGGCGGAACCCATGGCCCACAATTGAGCCCACCCACTTTGCGGCTCCTCTTTCGTTCTTTCCATCTTCTTCAAGGTCCAACTTTTGCTTCCAGGGAGTGTCACAAGGAGTGACATGGATTGCACAATTCCGACTTTTGACAGCAGAGACACATCAAGGCATTTGAATGCATCTTTTCCGGGGCCTTCTGGTAGAGTACATTAGCTCTACCAAATGCTAATAGTCTGCGGTGCATTTTTTGAGTGCTTGTTGCTTTACCGTTGGTGGGTGATCCTCAAAGGCAGAAACAACCCACCTTTTTAATACCTTTGTTGTCAGCTCTAAGGATGGTTGTTCCACCTTTCACCCTTATTTGATCTCCTTTGTGTTTAATTCTAGTCACATTTTTCTCACTCTTCTCCTTAACTTTTATTGCTAGACTGCAGATCCTTTGAATTTTTTGTCTATTAGAATGAGGTCATCAGCACAGCAAAAGGGTATTTATGTTTCTTCCTCCGATTTTCTAACCAGGCTCATCTTCCAATCCTGCCTCCCTTAACTAAGTATATTCTGTATATACGTTGAATAAAGACACGGAGGGTGTGGGGCCTGGCCCTTTGTCTTGTCAGGCCCCGTCCATTCTGCATCTTCCTGATCTGCGTTATGGATTTCTCACAAGGAGCAGCAGATCTCCTGAAATTCCTGTTTTTTTCTGAGCATACTTCACCCCTGGGTGTGATCAATGCAATTGAAGGCTTTCCTATAATAGATGAAGCAAATGGCGGCTTCTTTTTGGTGTCCTTTGGCTTTCTCAAGGATAGGAGCCGCGGTGGAGCAGTGCTTAGAGTGCAGCACTGCAAGCCCTACTTCTGCTGCCTGCAGTTTGGCAGTTTGAATCCCACCAGGCTCCAGGTTGCCTCAGCCGTCCGTCCTTCCGAAGTGGGTACAATGAGGACCCAGATTGTTGGGGGCAAGAGGCAGACTCTGTAAACCGCTTAGAGAGGGCTGGGAAAAGGACCGTGAAGTGGTATATAAGTCTTAAGTGCTCTTGGGCCTTTTCGGAAGCCCCTTCGGCATCTGGCTTCCCCTTTTCCCACGCAGGGCCCGGATCTCCAGTTAAGGGACCGTTAAGAGGTTTAAATTTGAATAGCCGGAGTCCAGTGAGCCCTAACACACAGAGATGTGGTTGATTGATGGCTCCTGTGTGAGGCCATCTGTGCTGTGATTGGCTGCTGTGGGTGTGGAGGAGGCGTTTCCTCCTTTTCCCCGCCTTTTTCTTCTGTCTGCCCTGCGTGCTCGGTGATTTTACCTCAGGACGCTCCCCTTGGCCTGACTGCCTTGCCTGCTGCTGCAAATATTGGTGGTGGGATGTATTTATCTGTATGAAACTATATGTTCGTATAGTCCGCGTGTCGTCGGACTTCATCTGAACACCAGCTGGGCAATTCCCTGACAGGGACCCTGAGCATTATTTGGCCAGCGTGAGAAATTAAGGCCATTGTGTTCAGGAGACTCTGTTAAATCTCCTTGGTCTGGCACGGACGTGCAGGCCTGAAACTCTGCAATCCTTTTGATATTTTGTCATTCTCCAGGTTTGCTGGCACAGCTTGGTTGCAAACTCCCCTCCTCGCACTTGCCTTATTCCTGCAGGTATCCCCTCAATTCCCATGGGAGATATAAGCCTCTTATCTCGCACCCACTGAGGCGACGCCAGAGAAGCGCAACCAGCCCCACTGAAGGAAAAGCAGCCAAAAAGAAACAAGGGCCACGCAAACCACGCGAGGCGGGCAGGGCCATCGGCCGCACCCAAAGAAACACCAAGACCCACTTTGTGCCAACCCCGGGAAGGGGTTGTGGGCTGAAATAGTGAAATGTCTGTCAGGAAAAAGGCCAAGCTCAGAGAACACCAAGAACCCAACAAGTGGGGGGCCATTTGCCTGATGCGGTCTGGGGCTGGACCAACCTTGGGCGGGGGGGGGGGGGGGGCTGGACTAGAAGACCTCCGAAGTCCCTTTCAAGTCTGCGATTCTGCTAAGTCTCCTCCGTTGTTTTGTGGGGGAGACCTCCGAGAGGAAGCCAAGCCCGTTTGGGCTGAGGAAGACCGACCTTTACCGACCTTCAGCGTTATCTCTGGGGCAGCCCAAGTTATGAAGCCCAAGCCAGCAAGCAAGACTCACCACCAAGACCAAGTAGTTCATGAGGCGCTCGATGCTGGTCCGTTTCAAAATGGTTTTCCCGCTGTTTTGCATCAGCTTGGTGTCTGGCCCTGGCGGAACCAACCATGGGGGCGGGGGTTTGCTTCCAGAAACAAAATGTTCTGCACCCAGAAAGGCAGGAGCCCCTGCCCCTCGTCTCCAGGCCCCCATCCCGTGACCCACCCCCAACCGGAAAGGAGAGAAACCTATCCGAAGAGGGAAGGAGAAGGGGCAGCGCTTTCTCTGGGGGAGAACGGAGGGCAAGCGGAGGAGAAAAAGGTCCTGGCCGGGGGTGGGGGGGCACTGGAACTGCCCCCTTTGTGAAGCATGAGCCTTGCCATGGGGTGGCTGGACGCGGCAATGCCTCAACGGAAGCCCCTGGCACCAGCTCTGGCACTGGGAGGGTCTTTGCAGGGAAGTGGGGCTCTGCTCTTTTGGGAAACCAGCTTCCTAAATGCTGCCAAGGGGTGAATGGGCGCCTTTTGGCATGTAGCAAAGGAGTTGAGCACTGAAAGGTGGAATCTTAAAATGAACCCAGGATCTAAAAGGCAAGCAAAGCCCTCCAGCCTTTTAATTTATTCCAAATGTTAATAGAAGTTGCCTTGGCAGGCTGGCCACACCACGTATCTTTCACGGCATACGCTGAATATATACAGTAAACGGCTGGATTGGAAGAAGAGTGAGGTTTTAAAACTGGAGGGAGAGACATCCATCGCCTGTGCCAGGCTGACAATGCAATCCTGACACCAGGACCTGCAAGCCCTAGTACTAAATATCAAAGAGCACAGGCAAAAAAATGGGACTAAAATTAAACACGAGGAAAGCCAAACGAAAGGCCAGAACAGGTAGAAGAACCAGCCTTAGAACTGGCAGTGAAGAGATGGAAGTGATGGAGAACGTTTCCCCTTTAGGATCAGTTTCAGAACTGTAGCAGCAGTCAATCCACTGGACGGTCACTTTGGCTGAAGGGGTGAAGCTCTGCAACTGGACTGGGAGAGGAGGGACCCCAACCCTCTAGGGGCTCCGTGGGGCCCCATCAGACATGCTGCGCTGCTATCCGGAAGCCGCCCTAGAAGCGTCTGGCCCTCCAGGGCAAAGGGGAGGGCAAAGGGGAGGGGTGGGAGTAAGGGCTTCAGTGGGGAGGGGCCCAGGAGAGAAGAGAGACCTTCCCACCCCCCACCCCCGCTCCGGCCGGTGCCAGCCAGTATCCCACACCCACCGGCAAAGATGACCAGTCCGAAGCACCACTCGGTGTTGCGGATGATGCAGCCCCTCAGCAGCAGCTGCTCGTTGTCCAGGGCGTATTTCTCCTTCTTGAAGGAAAGGGTCCCAGTGAACCTGCCCAGCCGGTTGTTGGGGGCTTCGCAGCGGATTTCCCCTGCAGGTGAGAGGAGGATGACTCCCAGCCCCTCCTCCCCTCTCCCCCACAGGGCCTCCAAAGGTCACCCTAGGCCACCTCCACGTGCCCTCAGCCCTCCCCCAGGCAGGACCCTGCCTCCTCCCCACAAGTGGCTGTGTCACCTGCCCTTCTGCCCCCGCCATGCTTGCTCTCTGGCAGCCATCCCCTAGTGTAGCAGGGACTGAAAAGGAGGCTTGGACTCCAAAGGGGCGATGCACAGCAGGCCCCCCTCTGCTCTGACTGAGCCCCCTCTCCTCCTGGCCCAGCACCCCAACCGTATGGGGCTGGCAGACCCCGTGGGTGAGGGCCCTGCCAACATACCCACCCTGGGAGGAGCTGCCATGCTGGAGTGCCACGACAAGGCCCCTCGGCACTCAGAGGAGTGAAGAGGAGCAGGGAGAGAAGGAAAGAGTGCAAAGATCTGTGAAGAGAAGGGGGAGTCAGGGGCTGGAGGCAGAGAGACAGCTGGGAAGAGCCCAGAGGCAAAGGGTGTGTGTGTGTGTGTGTGTGTGTGTGTGTTCTTGAGGCCGTGACTGCCTGGAAGCCACATCGTGCAGGAGTGGGTAGTAGTGGACAAATATATTAGTGCAAGAGAGAGTGTGCAATGTGACTGCAGCCTTTGCCCTCAGGTGTGCCAATTGTTAGTAGTACTATTTCGAAAAGCTGCAGAGTGACTTGAAGTTAAAAAGCAGAAAGCAGTGAAGACAAGGTCCAATGCATCCAGAAAACCACACCCCATAATCCATAAGTCACAACTGGCAGGCCTCCATAAACCTCCCCCCCCCCCCAAGGCTGGGAGAACATCCTCAGGGTGAGGAATTGGGAGTCACAACTCCTGACACGATGCTCTCTAGCTTTGCACCCACAAAATGCTCACCCAGCTGGGCTTTCGGAATCAGCGTCTCTCTGGCCAGGCAAGGGGAGAACCCCCAATGCAGGCAGCCCCCCCATCCCCGCCCCCCCACCTGGCTCCGAGCCCCCCCCCCCCCCCCCCCCCCCGAGGGCCTTGTCCTGACTCCCTGCTTCCCAGGGCCCCACTCCCACTCCTATCCACATGGACCATCTGCTCGAGAGGAAGGACAAGAATTGCCAGGGAAAAGCGGGTGGGGGGCAACACCAGAGTCCAAATCAGATCAAAGGGGCAGCAACCCTGACCCAGACGTGCCCCCAGCCCCTCCCTCTGGGGCTCCAAGGCCCTGTGGGCCCCGGGGGCAGAAGTCCAGGGCTGCTCAGCTGGCCAGGCCTCCCTCCCCTCCGTACCATTGAAGTTGCTCAGGGCCTGCAGGTCCCCCCCCAGCCCTGCAGTGACTGTCAGCGCCTGCTTCACCTTCAGGTTGGTTTCCCTGCAATGAGAGAATGGAGGGAGGATGCACCACCACCCAGCGATCACGCGGGCGGGAGACCAAGGGCGCCCCAGGAAGGTTCTCAGGAGGCGGGATGGAGGGTCTGGCTGCCCACTGAGAGGGAGGGGGCCCAGACACTTACCCGTCCAGTTCCGTTGTCTCAATATAGGTCAGGCTGTGGGGCTCACTGCTGCAGAGCAAGAGGATGTCCGCCTGCCAAGGGGAAGAGCGGGTGAGACTGGATCACGGTGGAGGTCTCTCTTTCCAGGGCACAAAACCTCATCCCGGCAACCGGAGGGCAAGGCAGGCTTGTGGTTGCTGACCTGTGCCATTAGATCCCCCCAGTCTGCCCAATGGCACGGAAGGCCAGGGTTGTCTTTCTACAACATGGGCAGGGGCGGATCGGTGCCAATAACCACCCAGGCACCGGCTGCTTATCCTCTCAGTCTCCCTCCCGGGGACCCTGGTTGTGCCACATGGCCTCTGAGGGACCCCTTTGCCATGTCCAAAGGCTGCAGGTGGGAGAGGCAGAGAGCTCTGCAGAGCCAAAGACGTCCCTCCCCGGCACAACAGCTGCCCCAGGAGCTGCTGATGGAGGATGGCAAGACAGACTGGCTGCATTTGTGTCTCTGCTCAAGGGCCTCCCCAACATCCAGCCAGGCTGCCCAAGGGAGCCCTTGGAGCCACTTCCATGCTGGCATTTATTGGGTCAATGCTGACCGGACTGGCCCAGGGCAAGAGGAGGAGGAGCCTCCTGGGACGCCCTTGGCCTGAAGGGGTGGGGGAGGAGCTGCCTTCGCTTACTGTCACAAAATTATTGTTCTCCAGCTTGATGATGTCTCCCACTTCAACGTTGAGCCACAAGTCTTCCTTCAAACTAGAAGAAAATCCCAGTTACAAAAGCACCAGAGAGAAAGGACGTCCCTTAGCAAGTCTCCCGCATCTTTGGGGGTTTGGGGGGAGCAGCTGTGAGTCGGCTTTGGCAAGAAGCCTGATTGGCATCAAGATGCTTCCTGGACTTTTCCATTTGGGAGGATCTGTGATTCTGATTGCAGGAAAACGGTGTATTTTGGATAAGGGGTCCCCATGGGTGCTGGTCAAGAGGCAGATTGATTCTCTCTGGTTGACTCCGCCTTCCCTCCTTCCGAGGGGGGTCAAATGAGGACCCAGATTGTTGGGGGCAACAGGCTGTCTCTGTCAACTGCTTGGAGGGGCCTGTCAAGCTCTGGGAAGCGGCACATAAGTCTTGAGTGCTCTCGCTCACTGAGGAGAGAAGACTTCAGGGCTGCGTTCAGAGATGCGGCTTTGGCCTCTGAGTGGCTGGACAAACACACCCAGGAAAGGAGGCCGGTTCCAGCTTGGGGGGGCCTTGATCCTTGACACCAGTTGGCTGTGGAAACGTCCACAAGGGACCTCTGGACCAGCAGGGAAAATACTCTCCAACCTAGTTAAGGAGCTTCTGGGACTTGCCAGCTGTTCCCTGTGTGCATCCAGCAGGCCGCTCACCTGCCATCAATCAGCACCTTAACTGGCCGGTTGTTGACCTGCTTGTCGTTTGCATGGCGATTCTGAAAAAAACAAAAAAACACAACCTGAATCAGCCAAGCCACAGAGAGGGCACCCAAGACTGGCTATGACCCAGCCTGGCACCTGCCCAACCTTCTTTGGCAAGGGCAGGATTTCAGGAGCCCTCAAAGCAGGGGGTGCGTGTGCTGTGGACAGATCTCCCCAGCAGGACGGCTGAGGGCAGGAAGCGGTACCCTCCCTGGAACATCGGCTGCCCTTCCTCCTCTCGAATCTTCCCTGTCTGCATCGTCTCTAGACTTGGGTGGAGGCCGAGAGCAGCTGCTCCGAAGGCTCCTCCAGACCACCCCCCCTTCCCTTCCCTTCCCCTCCCTCTAGGGCCCACGGAGAAAGTCACGTCTCCTTCTGGACACAAAGCGGGGAGATGGGTCCCAGTTGCTTCGAGGTGAGACTGTTCATTTCCATTTGGATTTGGCCATATGGGGGTCGTTGCATTGATGTGCATCATCACCAGACTCTTACAACATCATCCATGGCATCCTTGACTGCGGACACGGTCAGGACCAAGACCAGAGGAACCACGGTGGTGAACCAGGAGAGGGAGGAGATCTCAGGGATGAGCTGCAAAGGGAGAGAAAGGTCAGGATGCCCGGAAGGCTCGGCGGGGGGGGGGGGGGTTTCCCACCCTGACTTGGCAGGCAGAGGGGCTAAAGAGGAGGCCCAGCCTGGGGATCAGCCTCTCCCCCACGGCTTCCAATAAACGTCTCTCTTCCGCTGTCTCTGTGCCTGCAGAGCACGAAAGAGCCGGAGGGGGGGGGGGGGGGGGGGGGGCAGCAGAGGCAGAGTCCACCCAGGAGAAGCTCGTGGATCGCAAGAGAGCCGCCGGATCGTCCCTTGGAGAGGATTCGGGACCGCTCTCTGCTGCCAAAGCAGAACCGCCACAGAGGCTGCTGAAGGGGACAAGGGGGTCGGTTCCAGGGCATGAACAAATGGAGGGGAGCCAACTGGAGGTGGCCACACAACCGCTCAAGGGGAAGTTGCGTATGACGTACGTGACTAATCGAAAGCCCCCCCAGGAAGGGGAGGCGTAAAAGCCAGCGTACAAAGGGTGTCGTGAGAAGCTCAACAAGAGTGGAAGAGAAGGCGGGACCTGCAGTTGTTGTGGTACACTTGACAGTTTGTGGGGAAACCGCCAAGCCCGTCTCCTCGGCTTGTGCCGAGAAAGTCCGAGAAGGTTGGAGCAGGGCGTCTCCGACTCAGAAGAGGCACAAAGACTCACCAGACCGAGGGAGGCAACTCCCCACGAGCAAAAATTAAAAGATGCCCGCCCCTTAGAGAGCAGTGGCAACCAAAGGGAGAGACTTGTGGAAAGCAGGGAGGGGCCGGCCTGAGGGCATCTAGCCTCAGGGCGGCTCCATAAATGAAGGCAGACGAGAGAAGGGGAGCAGGCCAGGGAGAACAGAAGCGGAGGTGAAGGGCTGTGAGGAATTGTAGCTGCTGCTCAAGGCCCTTGATGTGGCTTCTAACTTTCTTCAAGACAGGAAGCCCTTGACTTATGACAGCCATCGAAGCTGGACTTTCCATTGCTAAGTGATGTGGTCATAAAGGGCAATTGTACCCCTTAGTGACGGCAATCCCTGCAGTCACAATTGTTGTTGGTGTTAACCAAATCCCGTCAGGTGAAGCAACTTCCTGGGAAGTCACTAGAGAAGCTGGCAGGAGGTTGGAGGTCCCAGGCCTTCAGTCAGAGAAGCAAGTGGCTCCTGCTGGGTGGGGGGAGGGAGGGAGCGAGTGAAGGGGGGACAAGGGGGGGTCCCCAAAAGGCGCAGCAGGGGGAGGGTGCAGGGG